GCATGGGGGGGGATGCAGACTGGGGTGGCCACTTGGGAAACCGATCGCAGTTCCTCACGAAGCCAAACAGTTACCCTGGCCCGGAGATCCCCCTGCTAGAAATTTCTCCCCGAGAAATGAACACGGATGTTCGTCCGAACCCCGAACACGTGCGTGTGTGGCAGCACTGTTCGTGATCACTGCACCCTAGAAACAACCCCCGTGTGTTCTGTGGGTGAGCACTGCCGTGTGGGGCCCCACAACCGCTCAGCAGCCGGAAGGAACAGATCCCCGGTGCACCCCCAGCTTGCAGAGGACAGATCTCAAATGCTCCGTGAAAGAAGCCAGTCTGAAAAGCTACCTAATACAGCATTCATTTGTGCGACCTCCAGAAAAGTACTTTAGAAATCATAACAACAAAGATCAGTGGTTTCCGGGGACTGGGGACGAGGCGAGGGTCTGACGACGAAGGAGTCCCTGGAGGGAGTATTTCTAGGTGGTGGGAGCACATTCCGTCCTCTGTTCGGGTGATAATTTACATGGCTGTGTGCCTTTGTCAAAATCCCAGAACCGCACACCAAAGAAAGTGAACACGACTCCAGGTACATTTCAGAATGAAAACCAAGATAAGTCTGGGGGCGCCTGGGTGGCTCAGTGCAGTTAAGCATCCGACTTTGGCTCAGGTCATGATCTCACTGATCAGGAGTTCGAGCCCCGCTTTGGGCTCTGCATTGACAATGCAGAGCCTGTGTGGAATTTTCTCTCTCTCTCTCCCTCTCTCTCTCTGCCCCTCGCTCACTTGTGCCCTTTCTCTCTTCAAAAGAGAGAGAGAAAGAAAGAAAGAAAGAAAGAAAGAAAGAAAGAAAGAAAGAAAAGATAAATCTTATTACCAAAAATTACTCCCCAAACATAGAGACACCGTAGGAGTGAGAGCATTGGGGACCGTTGGGCACCTCCTGGGGCTGGTGACATCTTCAGTCTTCACCTGGGTTCAGACCAAGTGGATGCAAGTTTCACAAGAATTTATTGGGTTATATATTCATGCTTTACGCGGTGTGTGTGTGTGTGTGTGTGTGTGTGTGTGTGTCTTAAAAATATGCAAGAGCTCGCCCTGCTATTCCCGAATGAACTAAAACGTGACAGATTCCCGCTGGCGCCTGGCACGGGGTGGGGGGAGGGGAGAAGTTAAGGGAACTGAAAAGGAGATTTATTTTGAAGCCAGAGAAACTCACGGAGGCCGGGCCACTGGGGGGGGATCGAGGACCCCGGCCGTTTGTTCCGAGGCCAATGAGCGGGAGCCACAGAAGACGTTAAGCTAGACCCCATGACACCTGGGTCCCGTCGTGGCGTGCTGGGGGCCTGGTGACCCTCAGGGTCCTGGGCCTGGTGCCCGCATCTGGACCCGGGTCTGTGACTCAGCCTGGCCTCCGGGTTTTTGCCAAGCTGGTTATTTCTGTTCTGCTGTTCCCTGGCTCTGCGTGGCTCAGACCTATTTCTGCTTTTCATCTGCCCGGAGGGTGGACAGTCACTTAGGCCTCCGGCTTTGGGGAGCACCTCTCCTCACAGCCATCCGGTTGTGGGTGGGGGTGGGGTGGTGAGCAGGGCAGCGCCTGCCAGCCCCAGTGACCCAACGGGGGCCCTTATCCAACTTCCCATCTGCTGTTCGTTATGAATCAACAGCAAAGAAAACCACACGTGTCTTGCGGGTCTTGCCGGTCTTGCCATGGGGGAGGGCTGACGGTTGCTGCTGTGTGACCCCAGGCACATCACTCACCCTCTCTGAGCCTTGCTGGTGCCATCCGAGAGGTGTCCCGAATTATGTGTATCTCCAGCGGGAGGGGTTTTCCAGAACTTTCTAGAGCCTTCTAGAACCTCTCAAAGCGGGGTTTCTACCGTCAAACAGGGCAAAGATCTGCCGGATTGGAGACAACCCAAGACGTCCCCTTTGGCTGTGAGTGCCCATCCAGAAAGCAGCCATGTGTCACCGTCCTATTTCTAGGGTCCCGGGGGCCCAGGGGGCAGGGGCAGGTGGCCCCATGGCCTTGTCAGGAAAGTCCCTGAACGGCACGTTCGACCCTCAAGGTCCCCCTGTGGCTAGGCTGCCTGTCCGACTCCCCCTCCTGGTGACCTTCCTTGACCCCTATTTAAAGCCCCAACCCAAGCACCCAGCATGCCCTACCCCCTTCTCTGCTCCCTTTTTTTGCTCGGAATGTACCATCATCCGACAGCCTTGAATGTTAAACAGGTATTTCCTTATCTGCGTCTCCATCTAGAATGTTAGGCTTAGTGTTGTCACTTTGCGCCCTGCTGTGCTCGGCACTGTCCCTGGCACACAGTGGGCACTCAGTCCTCGTCCGCAGGAAGAAGGAAGCCGCCTGGTCAGCGTTGAGAGCCTGGGGCCCTGTGGGCGACAGCAGACTCCGGGCCCTGTCTTGTTCTTCCGCCCGGCGCCCGGGCAACTCACTTCCTGGCCCTGTGCCTCAGTTTTGCATCTGCCCATTGGGGATCACGGGAAGTCGGGGCGACGTGCACCTGAGACGGCCCCTCCACGGGAGCCCCCTGGCTTCCGCCCGTTTTTGGAAAAGATCCTTATTGGCCTTGCGACGACCTCTCGACCTCCCCTCACCGGCTCCGCGGAGGGGAAGAAGGGGTGCGCCTGGGGCCCGCCTGGAGGCGGCGTCAGAGGCCCCGGGAGGATGGAGTCCGCCCGTTCTCCAGAATGAGGAAGGAGGGCCCTGTGGGGCGCTGCGGGGACGCTCACTGCACCCTGTGGTTGGGCCTTTCCTCCCGGCACCCCGCCCTCCCCGGGGGGCACCCGCCCTCAACCAGTTTGGCAGGGCAGGCCTGGTCTGGAGATGGGCGGGGAGCCCTGAGCCTCCGCGCCTTCCTGGGCGCCTCCTCCCGCCCCCAGCCGCCCGCCGGACACCCAGGCCTCGCCGAGCCGGACGCCGGGCGCTCGAGGCCCGGGAGTCGGCGTCCCCGGGGGAGACCCCCCAAGAAGGGTGCGCGGCCCCGGTAGCCCGCCCGACGGCCGTCCGGGCGGGGAGCCCTCCCCGGGGCGGGGCCATGCCGCCTGGTGCCCGCTGAGGCCCCCACCATGGCCCGCTCGCTGACCTGGTGCTGCTGCCCCTGCTGCCTGACCGAGGATGAGAAGGCGGCGGCCCGGATCGACCAGGACATCAACAGGATCCTGCTGGAGCAGAAGAAGAGGGACCGCGGGGAGCTGAAGCTGCTGCTTCTGGGTGAGCGGGCGGGTGGGGTGCGCACGGGACGCCGCCGGGGGCCCCACGGGGCCGGGAGAGCCTGACCCACTTGGGGGCGAGAAGTCTAAGGCCCAGAGAGACCAGGTCCTCGCCCCGAGGTGTGGGCAGCGGGCGGCCGGGAGGGGCTTGTGCAGGGGGGGGGGGGGGGGGGCAGGCCCCGCGTGCCCTGCCGGCCTCTGCCCTGGCGTCAGGGGAAGGGGGCGATGAGCCCAGGCGTGCAGCCCGCCCCGGGGCCTCCCCGTCGTCCGCCGAGCGCCCTGCCCTGTCACAATCTGCCCGCCGGCTGGGGCCTGGCGAAAAGCTACCTGCTCTGGCGGGCTCGCCACGGAGTCCCTGGGCCCCGGCGTTGCCCGCGGGCTGTGACCAGCTCAGTTCATTCATTCCGAGGAAGTGTCAGTAACTCTCCGGGCGGGCATGGGGAGATGGGCGATGTCCCTGCCTCCGGGGACCTCATCTTGCCGACAGGGAGACAGACGGCCCAGAAGCCAATAAGCAGAGAGAGAATTTCCGGCGGCAAGAAGAGTGAGGAGGAAAATAAACCAGGGTGGAAGGGAAGAGTGACAGGCGTGAGTTGTAAGGCTCCAAGATTGTGACCTCCCAAGCGCAGAGTCTTGTCTAACATGTCCTCCCTCCACCCCTGGGGTCCTGCAGGCCTCCCCTCCGGGAGGCCAGCCTCAGAGGGCTCCGGGACATCCTGAACTACCCTGGGGGGGGGGGGGGGACACCAGGGAAAGATCTCAGGTGTCAGGAAGTCATCACCTGCCCTGGGCCAGGAGGCCAGCCATCCGCATGGCGGCCTCCTCTTCCTAGGTCGGGTAGGGGTGGGAGTGTGGAGAGGAGGGGTGTAGAAAGCCTTAAATTTAAGATTGCACCTTAATTAGGGCCCTCCTGACTCTGGTCTTTTATGGAAGAACACCCCCCCCCCCCATTTAGTTTTCCAGGAACCTGGCATGGACGGTCTCAGAATCCAGCCGATGGCCCCGTGGCTGGCCCCTCAGGGCGCTTAACTCACCGCTTCCTCCTGCGATCCTTTGGCACAGGCCCTTTACCTTCTTTGCTTTTTTCAATTGCTTCATTTTCCTGAAGCTTCGGTAAAATCGTCAGTGAGGCTATCTGACTGGAAGGTTTTAATTAAATTTATTACTTGGGACGCCTGGGTGGCTCCAGTCAGTTAAGCGTCGGCGTGCGTCAGGCCCCGTGCTGACCGCTCGGGCCAGGGAGCCTGCTGGATTCTGTGCCTCCCTCTCTCTCTGCCCCTCCCTCCCCGTTCATGCTCTGTCTCTCTGTCCCAAAATAAACGTTGAAAAAAAAATTTAAAAAAATAGGCAGGTAAAAAAAAAAGAATTAAATTACTTGGAAGCCTGGGTGGCTCAGTCAGTTGGCGATCTGACTTCCAGCTCAGGTCCGCGATCTCGTGGTTCAGCAGGTTCAAGCCCCACATCGAAGATACCGGCTGTCAGTGTAGAGCCTGCTTGGGATCCTCTGTCCCCTCTCTCTGCCCCTCCCACCGCGCATGCTGTCTCAAAATAATCATTTTTTTAATTAAAGAATTTAATTACTGTAATTGCTATCTCTATTTGACATCTTCAGACTAGGTAGGCTATTACGGAAAGTGTATGATATATGATGTGGTGGCTGATCCTTTTAATAATATTATTATTAGGGCTACTTAGGCTATCTGTTTTCTTCGTCAGTTTGGTTGTCGATGTCTGTCAAAGAACTGTCCCTTTCTTGAAATGAAGAATTGTAGAGTCAATGATGTGCCCTCCTACGTCCCAGCGGACGCGTGGCGTCCATCTTCCTTCTGTTTGTCTTTCGCTTCTTGATCCACCCGACGGAGGTTTGCAGGGATACTGGTGACCTTTCCTTGCACCTCGGTTTGTGCCCCGAACCTCAGGGCCTTTCCTTGCTGTTCTCTCTGCACCTTGGCTCCTCGGCATCACCCACGCCTCCTGGCCGGTGCTGTCCTCAAGGCAACCCCACAACTCGTGTGTCACCTCGCAGAAGTCTTCCTGGATTCCCTGACCACAAAGGCGGCCCATCCTTCTCAGCTTCCTCCTTTCTTCAGGGCACGTGCTGACCTTCTGTGGTTGTTTAACTGATCAGCTTTCCTGTCTGTCTCTCCCAGTTACACGGAGGTGGGGACCGTGTCTTTCTTGTTCTGCCTCTGTCCCCAGCATCCGGCCCAGGGAACATAGTGAACCTTGGCAGAGAACAGATGCCAGAGCATACTGAATAGATAAGCGATAGAGATCCTGTCTCTGGGGCGGCTTCCTGGGCTGCACCATCTTCAGAGCTGGGAAGGAGTCCCCGGTGCCACCGCTGACCACTGCCAGCCCTCCCCACACCAGGAAGCCTTCTGCTGGCGTGCGGTGGGGCAGGGTGTTCATGTTCCCAAGCGCTGATGGTGGCCCTGTGGACCGCCTTGTGGACTGTGGTTTGTGCCCCCCTACCCCAGCCCCGGGCTGCTTCACCTCTCTCCTTCTTATGGGAATTGAAACCAAAAGTTATTTTTTTTCCTGGAGGTGGCTGGTCTTTTTTGAGGGAAGCAGGCTGAGGGGCCGGAGTCTGTCCCTGACAGGAAGCTTGATTGGCGTGTTGGAGAATGGTGGCAGGGGTGGGAGGTCAAATGAAGCCATTGTCCAGCTCTGTCCACAGAGCTTGAGTGGATACCACTCCTGTCCCCAGGTGGAAACTGAGGCCCAGAGAGGCCCAGGCTTGATTTGCCCCAAGGTCACACAGCCAGGATCGGAACCTGGGAATTCTGGTTCCCGGAGCCCATGCATTTGACCTCTCCTGTGAATGTGCCTCTGGAGAGAAAAGCCACAGCACCCCCGTGACAGATGGGGAAACTGAGGCCCAGGAGGTGATGGGATTGTCTGGGGTCGGCAGCAGTCCAGAGCTGGGACCTAGAAGCTGGCCTTGCCCTCAGCATGTCCCGTGGCCCCCGTCTCCTGGAGCATCAGAGGGTCTGGGCAGCCTTCACCGTGGAAGCAGCCGCCAGGTTCCCCTTCCTCTCCGCCCCAGGAGGAAGCAGGCCCACCTCTGGCCCCACCAGGTGGAAGAGCTGTCCTAAACCCCAAGCCCATTTGCAGACTTTCCACAGCAGACCAGGAACCTGGGGCTGGAGAGGTTCAAGAATCTGTGGCTTCAGGACGAGTCACGCGGGCTGCAAAGAAAGCCACCCAGTGGAGTTTCAGACTTTAGGTTGACCCAGTCATGATCCACAAAATCCATGCTGTGGGTGGCGACCAGAGTTTTTTGTTTCCTTTAACGACACAGGAGAAAATCAGTGCCTCACCAAGTCAGCCGTTGCTCTATGTGACCTTTGATGGGTCCCCCCATGTCTGGGGAGACCCGAGGTCCTGAGAGTTGAAAGACTGCGGGGAAGGAGGTCAGAGGAACCCCTAAGCTTATCTCCGTCCCCTTCCGCAGCGGTTACCTGTCCAGCTCAGTGTCCGGGCGATGTGGCGTTGACATGGCGTTCATTGTCGATACTCTGATGAAGCCTGACCGGCAAGGCTGGCGGAGCCGGCTGAGACCCACAGGGGCTTGAGTTTACTCCCCTGCTTCTCTGCTGCTGTGGGACCCAGAGGAAAATCACCCTCTCTGAATTCCCAGGTGTCTTTTTACTATTCAGCAAGCCGGTGCAGGACTCTTTGGGGGGGGGGGTGTTAGCTGAACAGAGTGCAGTATTTTATTGTTTACCAAGTTAAATCAAGCTCTGGTGACTATGGATATGGGAATTTCTGGTTTAATACCGCTAACCCTGTGCTTGGACAGAACGAGGTGTGAGTCCCAGCTTAGTAACGACGCGTTGGCCCAAGGCAAGCCCATCTGACGATCTGGGACTCAGTTTCTCCATATGAAGAGTGGGCCAAGAGCCGTCCTTCTGTCAGGCTATCTCAGACACACTCTGACTCCGTGTTGGAGACTTTCAGGCTGTGGACCCGAGTGAAGTGTTTGGGTGTTTTTTGAGGAAACTTTGAGATAATTTTAGATGTCTGTAAAGTGGCAAAGACCAGACAGTTCCGTCTACCTAGCGGCCCTCCCCTGGTGGCATCGTATGACCCCGGTGCACTGTCACCGTGCAGGAGAGCTACCTCGGAACCTCCGACTGGATTTCCGTGGCTCGGGCCTGGGATAGCCTTGATTTCTCTGCTGAGGGAGGCCCTTTTTTTCTGTTCAGTTCCCATTTAACTCTGCGCATCACATGTCTCAGGCTCTTCCCTGGGAGTTCTCCCAGTTTGTCACTTTCAGACCCACTGAAAGTTGGGCCCGGTTCTTCTGCAAACATTGGTGTTTCATATTTCCTCTTCTCCCATCTCCCTCCCTCGCTCCTTTTTTTTTTGTAAAGTTGACTTGTGGATTTTGAGAGAGAGAGTGTGGGAGCAGGGAAGGCAGAGGCTGAGGAAGGGAGAAGGGAGTCATGCAGGCTCATGATATCAGCGCAGAGCCTGACTCGAACCCACGGGCCGAGATCGTGACCTGAATGAAGCCGAGACCGGACGGCAACCGACTTCGACCACCAGGTGCTTAGAGCAACTCATGTTCTTGGGCCGCCGAGTCAGTGGACTTAACCACACCTGGTGTCACCCAGGCCTGCCCTTTGTTGCCCACAGATATGTGGGGACACCGGAAAACTCCTGAAGTCTTCTGCCTCCTCCCACCCACTCTGCTCCCTCCGACTGTTCCTCTTTCTGGGCTCCACCCTTCGCTTTCCTGCTGCTTCCTGTTCCTCCTTCCAGTCCCCCTCCTGTTAGCGGGAAGGACCCCATGCAAGGTCCCCCAAGGCGCTGGAGTGGGGCAGGAGAGCTGTGGGAGCCTCCCGGATCCCCACCCCTCCTGCCACCTGGCTATCACACCATTTTACAGATGGGAAAAGGCGGGCACATACACACACACACACACACACGCCAGGACTCAGGCATCGGTTGAGCCTTCCTCTCTGTTTCCCAGACCCGGGACTTCACCGAAGATCCTGCAGAGATGTTATCATTGCTGACCAGAGGCTGGCTTTTCTGGAAGCGTGGGACCGGGCAATCCCATGAACCCACCTGGGCTCAAGGCCCGGCGTCCATAACCCGTGGTCGTCGCCCTGCAAGACCCCTCTCCCGGCTCTGGTCCATCAGCCGAGCCTTCTCCAGTCGATCTCCCAAATATCCTCCCAGTGTCTTCTTTCCACGGTTCCAGCCCCATTCATCACTCACCTAGACCTCACCGGACGCTTCGCCCTGCAGCCCCGCAGTCTGTCCTCCCTGCTGCTTGACCACGCGGGACACCTTCCGAGGACCACCGGTGCAGTGCCCCACTCCCCATAGCCCTCGGGCTCCCACCTCCCTGAGATTGGCCAGAGTCCTCAGCGTGTCCCCAGCCCCTGGCCTCCCCACCCACTCTGTAACCAAACAGACTTTTTTTGCTGTTCCTCCGTATTTTCAGCCCAGCGAACTCAGACCCTCTCCCGGACTGCCAGCTTCTGCTCCCGGCGAACCGACAGCCAGGGCCGTGGGGACACAAATGGCCGTGACCTGGATGCCAATAAAACTTTACTTAGGGACGCCGAAACAAGTCCACCAACCACACATGTGATGAGATTCTCAGTGTTTTTTTTTAAATTCCTTTCAATCGTTTAAAAATGTCAAAACCACAAGGACAGAAATTATTTGAGCCGTGGGCTGTCATTACAAAAGCAAAACCTGCTAGACGCCTTGGACACAGGCTGCCGGCCGGCTGGACCCTTGCGCCCTGGTTGGCTGACTCCCTCCCCCCCCACCCAGGAGACTCTTCTGGGGCACTCGTTCACCCTCATAGTGAGCTCCTGACAGCAGGGGAAACTGGGGAGCCATAAAGAGGCTGCATGGGGTTCAGTCAAGGTTGTTGGAGGAGCCTGAGTGGGTGTGAGGAGCCCGGGGACCTGAGCTGCTGGGTGTCCCCTCCCCAGGCCTAAGCGAGGAAAACGTTCATCAAGCAGATGCGCATCATCCACGGGGCGGGCTACTCGGAGGAGGAGCGCAAGGGCTTCCGGCCCCTCATCTACCAGAACATCTTCGTGTCCATGCAGGCCATGATCGAGGCCATGGACTGGCTGCAGATTCCGTTCAGCAGGCCCGAGAGCAGGGTGAGCAAGCGGGGGGCTCGGGCCGGGGCCGCGTGCTGGGGGGCCTGTGGCACTGGGGGTGGGACCCGTCCCTTCCGACCCCCGGGCCCAGGCTGTGTCCACTAGGACCCCCGGGGCAGGATGCGTGCCCTCTGACCCCAAAGCCCAACACATCTTCCCCTCACAACTTCCGGGGCAGGACCGCGTCCCCTCAGACTCCCCCACCCTCTCAGGCCGAGTCCCCTCAGAAACTGCCACCCTGTCAGGGCCGCGTCCCCTCAGACACCCCCACCCTGGTGGGACCATGTCCCCTTGGGCCCTCCAGATCGAGACTATGTCCCCTCAGAACCACAGGTCTGGGCCGTGTCTCATAGAACCCTCCGTTCTGGGCCATGTCCCTTTGGACACCTGGGACAGGGCCGTGTTTCTTGGGTCCCCAGGTCTTGTTAACTCTACCCCAGGAGTTTCCGTGCATTCCAGGCAACTTGGCATCAGCTCCCCTCTCGTGCTGTCCTGTGGGCCCTGTGATGACAGGGGTGGCCTGGGTGGGGGGGTCCCGAACCAGCACCCGCTTTGCTGTAGCATCGACCGGCGACTGAGTCCGGCTTCGGGGCGGGCAGCTCCGTGTGCACGTGTCACAGGAACACTTCCCACGCTCTCCACCCTTGTCACAAATGGTGGGGAGCACAGTGCAGTACGGTTCCCAGCAGGCCTCTCGCACGTGGTCCTCCTGAGGAGCTAGAAGGTCATGGCCTCGAGTGGCAGATCCCCAGATCTCCCTGCCCCAGCCCCATGCCGCTGTCCGTGTCCATGAGTTTGCTTCTTCTGGAAGCCTCACGCAAGTGGGGTCATGTGGTATTCGTCCTTCTGTGCCTGGCTTATTTCACTTAACGTGATGTCCCCCAGATTCATTCGTGTCGTTACCTATTGTGGATTCCCCTTCCTTTTTTTAAGGCTCATCAATAGCCGTGTGTGTGTGTGTGTGTGTGTGTGTGTGTGTGCGCGCGCACATGCACCACATTCTCTTGATGGACATTTAGGTTGTTTCTGCGCCTTGGCTATTGTGACTCGTGCTGCAGTGAACACGGGATGTTAGTATCTTTTCTTTTGAGAGAGACAGACAGACAGAGCACAAGCAGGGGAGGAGCAGATAGCGGGAGACACAGAATCTGAACCATCAGCACAGAGCCTGACGCGGGGCTCGAACTCACAAACCGTGAGATCATGACCTGAGCCAAAGTCGGATGCTTAACTGACTGAGCCACCCAGGTGCCCCTAGAATAGCGGTTCTAACTGAGATATAACCCACGTGCTGAAGAAGCCAGTTCACAAGCTCAGTGAAGCCATCACAACGTAAGTGCACGTGTGTAATCGCTGCCCAGGACGAGAAGCAGAACGTGTCCCCAGAGGCTCCTTCCCCAAATCACTACCCCCCAGGAGTAACCAGCAGCTATATTGGGGTTGCCTAGTTTTGAACTTCTCATGCATGGAATTATACAGAACGTTCTCGCATGTCTGGCTTCTGACACTGCTCAGTATATCTGTACTTCTTCCATCTTTGGGGGCATAGTTGTGGTTTGTTCATTTCTATCATATGTGTTTCATGAAGACCTACACGTCTCTGTTGGCTATCTATGTAGAAGTAGATTTGGATCATAAAGTAGATTAGATTAGGAGGAGACACCAGACCGTCTCCAAGCACTTGACTATTTCACACTCCTGCCAGCAGTACATGAAGAGTTCAGTTGCCACTCATCCTTGCCAACACTAGATGCCGTCGGCTCGTTTTAGCCATTCTGATGGGTTCTTGGAAATATTTCATTGTGGTTCTGATTTGCATTTCCCTGATTAAGAAGGAGGCTGCACACCTCTTCACAGGTTTGTCGGACATTTGGATATTCCATTTTGTGAAACAACTGTTCAAATCTTTCGCCCATTTTTGTTTTTGGCTTTGTTTTTGCCTTTTTTTTTTCTTACTGATTTATAGCAGATTCTTTGTATGTTCTGGAGGAGAGCACTTTGTTGTGTATTTTGTAAATATTTTCTCCCCATCCATACCTTGCATCTTCATTGTTTTCACGGTGTCCGAATGAATAGCTCTTAATTTTAATGAAGTGCAGTATGTCAGTCTTCTGCTTACTGGTGTGTTGTTGGATTTTTGCTTTTTGTGTTTGTTTGTTTGTTTGTTTGTTTGTTTTTGGTAGCCAGCTTAAGAGATGTTTTTCCCCCTCAAGGTCATGATGAAATTCTCTATCGCTATCTTTAACTTTTTTTACTTACTTGTTTTTTAAAGCTTTATTTATTTAGTCTTGAGAAAGCGGGAGAAAGAAAGCATGCTCATGGGAGCAGGGGAGGGGCAGAGAGAGAGGGAGAGAGAGAGAGAATCCCAAGCAGGCTCTGTGCTGTCAGCATGGAGCTGGACGCGGGGCTCGAACCCACGAACCGGGAGATCATGACCTGAGCTGAAACCAAGAGTAGGATGCTCAACCGACTGAGCCCCCCAGGTGCCCCTCTATTGCTGTCTTTTAAGTGGAGCTTTATTGTTTCAGATTTAGATTTACCTTGTACCTGGAATTGATTTCTGTGTAGGGTGTGATCACGTTTCTTTCCTTTTTTATCCTCCTGGTGCAGATATTCAATGGTGGCAGTGCCCCTTAACATTTTCCCCACCATACCACAGTCTCGTCTTTGTGATCAATCGGGTGTTCAGATGTGCCTGGATCTGTTAACGCTCGCTGTTCTGTTCTGTTGGTCAATTTCTCTGCCTTTGAGCGAACATCATTTCATGTTAGTGATTGTAGCTTCCTAATACGTAGTCTCGGAGCCTGCGGGTGGAAATCCTTCCACTTTGTCCTCCAGAATGGCGTCGGCTGCTCCGGGCCCTTTTGCATTTCTACATTAAGTTTAGAATTATCTTGTCAGTGTTTACGTGCACACACGCCTTTCTGGGATTTTGGTAGAATTGCATGGAATCTGTAGATTAATTTGGGGAGAGTACTGGCAGCTTAAAAATGCTGAGTCTTTCAATCCACGGACACAGCATAGCCTTCCAATTATTTAGATCCTTTACATTTTTTCCTTAGCGGGACGTCTGGGTGGCTCAGTCAGTTAAACGTCCGACTTTGACTCAGGTCACGATCTCAAGGTTCGAGCCCCGCGTCGGGCTCTGTGTTGACAGTGCAGAGCCCCCTTTGTTGTTGTTGTTTTTTAATGTTTTCTTTTTTTCTTTCTTTATTTAGAGAGCGTGAGCAGGGGAGGGGCAGAGAGAGAGAGAGAGAGGG